TCATTCAACTTTGCAATTTTTTATCATCTTTGTTTGAAAATGTAACTTTTTTATAACTGCTAGGGAACACCATAAGGAGAAACTAAGACAGTACTCTAGTCGTTCAAAATTATTTCCGATGAATGTGAGCATAAGTTGAAAGACGTATACAGCATGATCATTGTTTTAATTTTATTCTCCAACAGGGTATAATAAAACATAAAAAAGAAACAATAAAAACCATTTAATCGATTGGTTCAAACGGTGTATGATTAATTTTACCATTTATACAATATCGAAGAAATGTCGAGCATAATCTTGATATTGTATGTAATATAGACGTGTCATCAATTATTATAAGCATTTAACATGAATGAATAGTTTCAGATGATGTACCATGTAAAATACTTTAAAGTATATTGTATTTTATGTTGCAAGAGATTAACTGATAATTTATATAAATAACCTACACCTATATGCAGTGGCGTACATACGGGGGGGGGGGGGGGGGATCCGGGTTCAAACCCCCCCAGGACCAAAAAAAAAAATTGTTTTATTATTGATGATGTGTAATATATTCGTAGTTTTATTATTATGCTTTGAGCTAAAAATATATAACTATACAAATATTATAATTAAATAATTAAATCGATAGGTGTTTGAAGTTTTGTTAACTATGCTGTTTTTATATTCCAATAGCTATTCATTTACTGTAATGTAAAAGTAAATTGGTAAAAAAGTTGTACAAAATAATATCTAATTATTGCAGTTATTTATCTTATTTATCTGTGCAACGAAAAAAAAAGATAACGATTATTATTGTTAACCCCCCCACCCTAGAGCAAGATTGAATGTACGCTACTGCCTATATGTCTTATAAGAACAGAGCGTTAAAATTAAAGATAAACGATTATTTAGCACTTCTACCATAACGGAACATGCAATCGAATCCATGATTCAGACGAACTTTATTTAGTAAAGACGATGGAATATAAGGTCTGAAATCCATTAGTTATAAGAAGGCTAAGGAACTTCTAGCATTTACATATTTATTTTTAAAAGATTAAAAAAATAGTTGAGTTCAATAGAAGTTATATATACATCTTTGATGTAAAGAATTTAAATCCTAAATTTAATTTTTAATTTTTATCATTTTTAATTTTTAAAACATATTTTAACAGTATGTATCTTTTCAGGGCTATAAAAAGTCATATTGTCCTATGTAATTTAATATTTATAAAACTCAATTTTGAATTTACCAGAGTCTAAAACATTTTTGAAAAAAAAAAAGAAATGATCTGATTCATTGTTGTAGAGAATACGCGAAATAAATTAGGCGAGTTATAATGTTTAAAAATTGTGTCCGAAACTTCTAAAATTTTAAAATGCAAAGTTAATGACATGAATATATTGCCTGAAGATCTAACAAATGATGATCTAGTATTTTTTTAAGTATGCGCCACTATCTATCATCGGTGTAGAACGAAGCTTTTCAAAATATAAAATTTTGTTTTCAAATAACCACCACAGATTTACGATTAAATTACATTTAAAAACGTAAGAACATTTTTAATAGTAAAGTGAAATTTTCAAGGTAAAATTAAGTGAAAAATTTAAATGGTTAAAATTGGTTGTAAACCCATTGTCCTGTTTTATATTTCAAGCCCACAATTAAGCATTGAGTTTGATAAATAACCCTCAAATAATTGATAATACAATTGTTTTACGTAAATACAATAAAAAATAATAAAAAAAATGTTAGAACCTATTTAAATGAACATTTGGTTCTTTTTTAAAACATATTTATATGTTTTTTAGAGCTAAAAGTCCCTAGCCTAATCATAAGCAATACCAATTTTAACACCATCGTAATATATGAGAATTAAACGAGAAGTAGTTGTTGATCGAATGAAAATAATTTATATTAAAAGTATATTTGTAGTAGTAGGTACCTAATGTTTATATACATTTACATTAAATTGTAATTAATTATCGTAAATTGTTTAAATCATTTTTAATTAAATATTAATAAATAATTAAAAATCATTGTTAATAATGACCAATACTGAGTAATAACCTATCGTAGAAGCTCGAAAAGAAATATCGTATACCGAAACGTGGACTTTTTCTACCTTCTCCTCAGCTATTATCATATTATCGCATACTAATAACCCTTTAAGTTAAATGTCCGAACGTGATACAAATATTAATACATTTGTATGTAAGGGTATATTGTAAGTATATATCTTTGTTTGCGAGTACATTTATTATAATGACTGTAAGATAAAGCGACTGCGCTATCGAGAGGTATTGGTGTGTAAATGAGACATCCGGTGCGCGCGTGCATACAAAGCCGTCCTACATGCGTGTATATGATATTGTCTCGAAACGCTACTGCTCCCACTTGATTAAGTCGCAGTCGACAAGTTTTGCCCACGTCGGACCGAACCATGTTCGCGAGAAAGTCGTTTGGGGTCCCCGTCGTTATACCCAACGGTCGATGGTTATTACAGAGAATAGAACCGACTACAACGATAATATTTGTAGTTGCAGCAATGTTCAAACCTTTGTGCGAAGGTGACCCAAAAGATATTTAACCGATTTTTCATGCGACCCTTTTACGACTAATGTTCAACGTGGACAACCTTTCGATTTCCATAACATAAAAAAAAAAAAAATAAATAAACTATCACCCTTCTTTTCTATTTGTATAACAGTACACCCATTAATAGTAAATATACTAAATTAAAAATGTGCCCAAGATCATTAGTAGATACCCGAATAATATATTTATATTTTATACTTGTCGACCCGTACAAAATTATTTGCGTTCCATAGATTGAAAAAAGCTAAGTAATACGATTAAACGGATAAATGCACACCCTTCGTATGGTTGCAACAATAATGGCGGCGACTGCATTGTTTGCATATTATTATCAATTGCACTAAAACTATTTGATATCGGAAAATAAAATATGTACGTTGCAGGGGTTTCAAACGTGCGATATTTGACAACACATGATATATTACCATCACACGAGACACTTGTATTGTATACTGTATTACGCCACGTCGGTCGCCGGATAGTATACGTATACTATAAGCGTGTATAAGCTGAGAATCCACGAAACTACTATAAGAAAAACAGGTTATGTAAATCGTTGTTGGTTTTTTTTCTCCTTTACCGATCGATATTACATTTAAGAATTGTCAAACGCCAATACTACGACTAATGAGAAAAAACGCGGACAATGCTCACAGGAAAAATACAACAAATTACCCCTTACATACCTCGACCAACCCGAAACGTAAATGCTATTCAAAATTCCGACTGCAAATTTTTACCTGATGTAAATTTGCGCAGTTAAAATAAAACGTAATTATAAAAATGATTTATTCTGAATCAGGCTATACAAATTATGCATACATTTGTCAATTAGTAACGATGTTTTCCGTGAACCGAAATTAATTTAAATGAGTATCCAAAATACAATTACACAATACGTTACAGTTATAAAACTAAAGTATAATTTTTAGTAAGAAAACATATACACACTAAATTTCTTAACGCCTAGAAAAAACATGAAAATAGAATTAATCAAAAAAGCAAGGTAGTACATTTTTGTAATGTACATATCATTTAACGATATTTAGTACCGAATAGTTTAAAGAAGGGTTTTCTCATAATTATCACAGTACGTTCATAAGTATACAAGTAATACACCAGCCGTGTGAAAGTAAAACAAGACACTTGTATAGATAAGAATCCAACTAGATGTTTTTTCTTTTTATAAAAATTGATGTTTTGAATAATTATAATATAATACATTATTTTTAACTCATAACCGGATTGAATATAAATCTATAATTAAGATGAAAATTTCTAGATAACAATAATAAGTATAATATTATAAATAAGTTTAAATATAAAAGATGAACGATTTATTTTTTTTTCATTATGGTATTTCTTTCGATTTACCAAGGATGTACCTAGTATGAGTATATTTTTGGCATTCAATCACTTTCTTTATAGAACCACAACTTTAAATTTAATTTTGTTTCTAAAAAAAGATATGATTGAATTCCGAACATAAATATTTTATTTTAAATATATATATATATATACATACTATACAGGTATTATATGTAAACATATAAAACCTACACATATTTTTTTCTCGAGGTTTAGGGTATTTTTGGAATTTATCACAAATTATGTTTATTTACATTTGTAAAAAATAAGTGTATTTAATTAAGTTTTATTTAAACATTTAGTTAATGATTTTATCAACCATTGAAATTGGCAACATAATTATTTAAACCTAGATGATTTTTCACCATGACTGGTGTAATAAAATTATTTGTACGTAACTATAATGAACACAAGAGAAGACGAGCATTGAAAAAAAAAATTCCATAGTTTAATTATGGCGTATTTTGTGATTTACGACTAAATTTACATTGACAATCATATCATAAAAATAAAATACTGCATAATTATATTTTCGAACGAATTCGATGAATATTAAAAAAAAGCCGTGTATATAAACAGGGAAAAAAAATACCAAACTCTTACCCAATGGAATATCATCTATTGCTGTTGACATCATTGTTTTTACTTATAAACATCGATTACGAATAGTACGAGATAGGTCATTAATTTCATTATTATTATAAATACATTATTTCACGTCAATTAACATAATATAAGCTGAAAGCACTTTCGATTATAATTTACTTCCCTGCATAGACGGGTATTCTAAAGTAATATATATATATATATATATATATATTATTCGCATAAATACACAATATAATATATACGATCATACGCCGGTTGCAGATTGAACTATAAAACAGTGAACGAATACGCGAAACGTCCGAGTTTTCGACTTTTATAAGGCATATGTATATAAAAATAGTATAACATAATAGTAAGTCATAAATCTTGCGAGTAGCGTATTCAAAGGTTAAACATGAATTTTTTATTAGCCGACCCCGATTCAAATAAAATGCGTTACCTGTTTCTTGAGTATGATGTGCTTTCCCTTCCAATATTTCATCATGCCGAGAGCTTGGAGCGTGCTGACTATATCATAGGAGTTTATGGCTAGTTCTTGACTCATGTCTGGAATTCAAAATTTTAAATTACATTAACAGCTGATTGTTTACAACATATTTCCCACGTGATTCCGATGATTTATGTACAGACCTGAGCAGAACGACAATGCGGTTGTTCGCCTACCATACCTCCTCCTACCATCTTATTTCATACTACAACAGAATATTACGATATTGCAGTGCCCTGCGGACGAAAAACCCGGCATTTTATGTACGCACGATACACACGCACGCGCATACATACCCTGGACCACGGCCATGGGTACGAGATTGGAAAGCTATCGACACGTGAAGTTTGTTCATCCAAAAGAGGTTTATATCAGCGCATATGTAGAGATCGAATGGACTAAATTAAACTCATCAGTTATGTTTTTTATCGTTGTAAAGGGGGGGGGGGGATTAATTTACAGTGGGACGGGATAAATTATTTTGTTACAAAACGGAACCACACAATGAATTGTGATCCAAAAACAATATCCGGCCCGTTGCGAACGTTGATAAATGAAAAGCCGTCGGCAAATGCTATCTTAGGGGGATATATTGTACAGACACGTTGTCATTAAAACAGTCACGTGGAGAAATATTAGTTTTATTTCATATTATCATAGAATGACGAAAAAATTAATATTAACAACAAGATAATATGCATACGCTAACAAATCATTATTTTTTAATTAAATTGAAATATTTTTTTTTTTTTTTGAGGGTTTACAGCCAAACAATTATTATATTTTAATTTATATATATATATATACATTGAGTCAGTAAACTGTAATACATTTTTTTTTGTTTGAGAAAATATTAAAAAAATCTTAAAACTTATTTTATTTTTATGTTATTCAAAACTTACTTAGGTTATATAAACCTTACATTGAACTACTGATTTTTAAATTTATTTTTAAAAAAGCAACTTAGTAAAATACAATAATTGGACGAGTCATCAAAATTAAATTTTTAATTTGAAAACAGCATTATAAATTATTGTAATCGAAAAATAAACATGTTCGAAGAATAGTTCAATATAATATAAACTCAGATTATTGATTTAATTGTAAAATTATAGTAATATGGTAAGTTTTAAAATGTTCTAAAAAACAAGTAAATAATTTAAAAAATTATTTAGTTCTAATTCATGTCTAATTTGGAAATTATTGATTAAATTGTATGAATTGTATATGAAGTAATTTATTATAAAAACAAACATCATAATTATACAACTTCGAATATATATATAAAAAAAAAAAACGTACCTAAGTTATTCTTTTGAACTAAAATAGTAATTTGGTTTCAAGAATATGTAATTTCTAAAACACGTGGTAGTATTTTTCAGTAAATAATTTTATTTTATAAATCAAAAAAATTTATTTATTTCTAGACAAATAAGAATAATGTAAGTATAAGATAAGAGATCTTTATTATAAAATAAAAGTAGGACACGTTATTTATACGTTTGAACACGCTATTTTTGTGTTAAATTTACCCTACTGTCTAAATCTAATTAGTTACAATTTGTAAAAATACTTAGCTTAGAAATAAATGAAATAAAATAACTTGTAATTAAAAATATTGCAAATACAGACAATCGTATTTGTTTATACAATCGTTCATGCACATAATCTAAAATAAATTTTAAAAATTAATCTTAATTTTATTTTTTGTAGAAAATACGATTTATTTGAAAATAATATTTTACACTTAAAAAAAAAAGTACCAAATAGTTATTAAAATAGGCTTATTAAAACAAATCACCTAATCTAATCCGGGTTTAAGTACATTCGGTGGATTAAAACTAACTTTAGACCTTATCGGTCATTTGTTATAGTTGATAATTGAAATTAAGATGTAATTAGTAACAAATAAACGTTCAGCTATAATGAATACAAAAACAAATTGAATTGAAAAATTAAGTAATGAAAACTAGATAGTGAGACATAAAATGTTTTAAAACAATGGATGAGCCGAATTAATTAAACGTCAAAAGATTGTGGTTCGTGATATCCAACCTATGATAACATTTTTCTCGTATCATGTAGTCTTTCCAATTAAATTGATAGTAAAAATGTAAAGGATAAAAAGAGAAAATTTCAGTATGTCATTTAATGGGTCTTCGTATTTTCTTCCAGTTTTATTATTTTGACATAATACACTTATTAAGCTCGTCTCTTGTTTTACATCGTTTTTTTTTTTTTTTTTTTTTTTTATCGAATCCAATATCATGTCATATGTTTTGACATTCAATCTAAGAGTTCGTTGATACATAGGTTATAAAAATGTTGGAATAATTCCAAAAGTTGATCAAAATGCGGTTTTTTTATGTGAATAAAAGTATTCACGGTTTTCCGGGAAGCTCTTGTACATTTTTATCTACAATTTAAAATTTAAAGCTCATTTGGACCAGAGTGTGCCATGATTTTTAATTTATTTCTACAGCTGTAACAATAATTTTTAGATTATAATGTTAGATAGCTTTTATAATGAATAGATAAGTTTCAATTCGTGTTAATTGTAATATAAATGTATTAATTATCTGTGTTTGTAAATTAAGATTTTACATAATTAAATTAATAAAATAATGTTATATCAGGTAAAGTTTATCTACTTAAAATTGAATAGGGGTTTAACTTTTTTGCTTTAAATATTCTCAAGAAGAATCTAAACAATTAACATCACTACAACAATATATTTTTAAAAGATACGAACAGATTTTGTTTTTATAATACAATTCTAAAACAATATAATTTGAAGAGTATTCAGTTATAATAATTTATTTTGAAAGTAGAGAAATTACTTTATATGCATACAACAATTTATATGTAAAACAATTTTGAAACTTCTTAAACATAAAACTAATTAGTTTTCACACTAAATGTTTTATTCATTTATCACTGGTTATAGTTGTGTTTTGTTTAAGGAAATACTAATATGAATATTAACGTGTTAAAATTAAACTTGTCATAAACAATATTTTCCAATAATGTATAATCTGTTAACAAAGTGGCAATCATGTGATGGTAGTTTTAAATAATAATAATATATTTATATAAAAAAAAAAAAAAATGGTTAAAGTTAATGTTTAACCACCAAAATATTTAATTTTAATTTTGAAAAATATAATATCAACTATTAGAATTATTAGAATTATTCACGAATATTACAAAATGAATTTGAAATTTCACAAATAAAGTGTAATTTTTTTTTTCATGTTGTTTTCTAAAATCATTCGATCCATATCCTAATCAAGTAATTTATTGTAAAAAATGAGGAATTAGACAATTATTTAAAAAAATAAAATAACACTATTCAGTTTTAAATTTTCAATAAGGTAAAGCAAATAATATAAAATAAGGTAAGATTTTGAAGGCCAAATATCATAAATAATAGAAGTTAGAAATTTTCATAATTAATTTAATAATTTTCTTATTTTTAAATAAAATGTACATTTGTTATATTTGAACAAAAAGTATTGACAATTTTAGAATTTTTATATATCGCAAGGAGAGAAGACTTTCTAACAACAGAACTTTATTATCAAACATATTTTCATACCTAAGTAACTTTTAGAAAATAAATATTCACTATATCATTAATTTGAGAATTAGGTTGTTCAAATGGAAGATTTTGTTAACTTTAGAAACGAATAAGACCAAAAATAACTAAAAATCTTTGAATTACTGATTCTTAGTTTGTACAAAACCAATTTCTGCGACTTGATTCATTGTTTTATTATGTCTAATTTTTAATCTGTCTTGGTAGGATCCCTCGTCAAAAATAAAATAATAATAATAATAAATAAATAAATATCAGTGATGTTTAAAAATTACGAAAAAACCTTATGATTCCCTTAGAATTTCTTGCGGCGCATAACATCACACTAATTTAACTTAGGTTATGTAGGTCTGATATACCCGTACAGACACGGTCAGTAAGGGTTATTTTCAACTGTAATATCGTGATTATAACGTCATAAAAAATTGTGTATACTCAATTTTTATGACCAACACAAAGCACATAATCTAGGGAAAGAGAACGCTCGTTATATAACCGTAATAATAATATCGGCACAGCAGATGAAAGGAAGTGAACCACCGTATAAGGTGGAAAGTGTTATAAAAATTATGACGAGCGCCTTGTGTTTTGAATTTGTTCACTGACCTAAACATATATATATATATAATGACGCATGATAAGTAGTAGATAAAATAGTTCAAAGAAAAAAGAGAAAAAGGGATAATATGACTTTCGAGATGAAAATGTATGTAAACGATGTAAGTATTTACCTTTTACGGACAGTTGCTTTCCGCCCAAGTTGCACAAGTACTGTAGCAGAACGTCTTTCCAGTAGCTTCTGTACGATATCAATCCCAAATCGGATAGTGGTTTTTCTGGCGAACCCACTTTACCTTCTACTCGGGTTAGCAAGTAACCTATAAACACAAAATAATAATCACATTTGGAAAAAAATAACGCTTTATACAACATGTGGTACAAATCGTAAGATAAATAGATGGATACGGGCGACTGTTTTTATAATTCAACATTTATAAGTTATTATCAAATATTACGAAAGTATAACTAAACTTTAAATGTTTAATACTAATTATCTTATCTTACTTAATACTAATATCTAATTACTTTCACTCTTAAAATATTGTTGTAACACAAGTTTCTTTAGATACTGCAAAAACTTGTTCATCAATGATATAAATTTAACTGTGTATACACAATATAAAGAAAACAGAATTTAAAGGTATAACTTAATTTAACCGGGTTAATATAGAGAATACTAATTGTATTTAGCCACACACTAATGCAAAAAATGCGTATCTCTGCTCAATACTATACTGTTTTAATACAGTTTCCGTTTGGAATTAATTTCACACAAAATTGCATAAAATAAATGCATTGCTTCATATTTATACAAAATAAATTTTTAAATAAAATTAAAAAAATTGCGACAAAATAGTATAAATTAAAATAGAAACCAATGAAAAAAATAATTGAACGTTGTAACAAATAATAAACGAATTAAGTTATATATTCTAGCGAATCTATTTTACATTTTTAGTAAATATTTAGAAAAAAATACAATTTTATTACATAGTCATTAATATAATAAATTTAATGATTTTGTAGATTTACCTGGTTATTAATTAATATCTTAGAAGTCTATTAACAAGTTAATATTTAACGTTAGCATATTTTACTGCGTTAAAGTCAAAAGGAATATGTTGTATGATTGTTTGGCTATAATAACAAACTATGTTCTGGATACTACAAATTAATGTTTACTATAGAAAATTGAACAGTATACTATAATATTATAAATGTTATAGTAATAACATTATAACAACATGACATTATAATTGTTTCAATAAAAATAAAATTAATTTAGTTTATTTGAGTAAAGTTACTATCATACCTAGTAAATACTAAAATAGTTAAAGCTGCTTATTTATAACGAAAAAAAAAAAAAACCTTTTGATTGAAATAGAAATATATATTCTATAATTTTTATTATTTTTATCAACGTCATTATTCATTAATGATCAGATTTAACTACTTAACAATAAACATATATATAAAAAAAAAATGAGAATTATAAAATATTTCAATTTTTTTTTTATAAATATACATTATGAATACAAATAAAATATCTATAAACCACATCATGATGTAATCAAGGCGTACCATTCGATAATATAAAAGAAAAAATGCGTACAGCCGATTGATATATTCATTAAGTATCCTTAGTTGAATGTCAGAAAACAAAAAAAATAAATTACTTGCTAATATAAAAGTTTCTATGTATAATAATTGTTACGTATAATCAGGTAAATATAGTGCTTCAGTTTTAGGACGTTTATGAGCATGAAATATAATTAAAATACGATTACATAAACACATTTTGAAGAAAATATGTTTTAATATATTATATAGCAGTGTCATTTATATAGTTTTGAAAATTATAATTATTGGTTTGTACTTACACAATCGATAGGTTTGAATATTTTTCTTAAAAATCAAATAAAAATATACGAGTATAAATTATAATGTACTATACTTATGATGTGTATTTTATCACAAATTATGCAAATTATGATAGGCGATCATATTTTGGCTCCAAGGTGATAATCGAAGGTTGGATTAAAGGATTGAAGGAGCAAGATATAAAATCGTCCCGGTTATAAGGAAACGATTAAACGAAATAAATTACCGCAGAGACTTAAATCTAACAAAATTAGAATAAACTACAGTATTATGATTGAAAAAGTAAAACTTTAGAAAAATTAAAGACAAACAATAAGGAAGTGAAATAATTTTTGTTTTGAATTTAATTCATAATGAAAAGTTTTGTTTCATTATAAAACAAATACAAGTGCAGATAATCCGAAACAAATGTTAACACTATTAATTAAAATATAACAATTAGTTGGTCATAATATACAATGAATTTTTGATTTTTGTAAACGTTGTACTTATATTCTAATGGTAAAAGCTAGCAAATTATTTGTATGATTATTTGAAACAACAGATGTACATAGTTGTATCGATATACACTGCACTTAAAAAAGTATTTACAAATTTTTGAATAATATTAGAAACATTATTCTTACCAACATGTCCAACGAAACAAATATTATAATTTATTATTGACGATTGATTAAAAATATTTAAATATTTAAAGTATTTGTAAATAACGTTAAAAATTGGTTATGCATAATTTCCAAGTTATAACTATTATGTGGAATATAGAAAAACATTACACTGTATGTATCAGAATTCTAAATATAGAATTATATCAATGAAATATATTAGTAAGCATTTGATAATAAATCAACATTGAATAATCAGCAAAGAAAGTGTCTGAATATTTAGAGTTGACACTTTAGTTATAATAATTTGTGTTTATTTTTTTTATTTTTTGGAAATCGATGAAATATTATGAACCTCAACATAAGAATACATACATTCGAAAGACCATTGTACGTTAAAGCAATTAATTTCAATTTTATTTGTAAACAACAATGACAATATTACTGGTATGATCCGTATTTGTATATACTCTATTAGCCGTTTCTCAACAAGGTCAGGTGCACCTGTCAGGGTATGACATTTGGGGGAGTGTATCCACCTATCAATAAAAATAGAAAAAAAAATAGTATAACTGTTTATTTAAGGTATTTTCCAATACAAACATTCGGTTACAATACATTAGATTAGGGGAGCAACGCGCGATGAATTATAATGAGTTTTTTTTTTTTTTTTTATCAAATCGCATATCAAAAATACAAAATAACTAAATACAACAAAAGTGTAGAAAAAGTCATATACATGGAAAAAGAGTATAAAATAAAAATAGGATTTGTCTCATTAAGTATAACACTGGTATACAATTTTGAAAGTAGTTTTTGTCAGTCACCCGTTATTTACAGAATAGTATATTAGACAACATAAATTCACACAGAGTTCGCAGTTAGTAAGACGCTTGTCTGGACAATAAAAATCTTGAACAGATTTCCATTAATAAATATATATATTATGAAGTCTTGTTAAGAGAAAAGGAACCTCCCAAATTATAAGATAATAACGAGACCTGATTAAATAAAAAAAATTGTTAATACGCTTCTCCAAAGATTATCGAATGAAAAAAAAAGAATAAAACCGGTAGAAAAAATATAATAAAACCCAATAAGAGATGAGGATAAATTTAAAAGGAATAAAATAAAACCGTTTTGGAATTTACTGCCGCCTAAGATGAACTTTGTAAATTTCATCAGTTAACCACACTAGAGATGTAATCCTAAAAAAACTCTTGAGTGTACGCCAATTGTAAGTAAAATAGGTGATTAGAGTTAATTCTTATTCCCCCCCTCACCATTTATTTTGGTCCTCGATCGATAATATTAGCTAACAAAATAATGAATTTAAAATAAAAAAAAATACAATTGAATACTATTGTAGCAACTTGTAGCAGTTAAATGGCTTTTTAAACTACATTTCAGGGTAATAAAATTATAAATAGATGCGTAAAATAATAACCGTTAGTAATAAACATAATTAGGAAGTATGTTTGGTATTATTGATTTTTGAAGAATTAAACACATAACCCTCCTTCTGCAGTCGGGTAAAAAAGGTCAAAATTTGATAATACTGTTTATATCTATAACGTTTAGAGTACAGCTAGTATACCTGTATACCTGTGTATCACAAAATGTAAATATATGCATTAACCAAAAAATGGAGAATTCGTTATACGCGTATACGTTCCACTACACCACTGGACCACACTACCAAACGCATGCATCCCGCCGGCACTGGATCGTCGACGATTTTGGTTTAAGGAATATTTTGAAACAACATGTTTGCAGTAATGCGACGGCACAGATATATTGAAATATACTCGAATGCATTCACCTGGCTGGCTTTATTCAGAGTTTAAGTTTTATTATAATATAACCGAAGACGCAATGACGATGGTATAGCAAGTCATGCGCGCCGCAATATCGTTACATGTAAGAGACAATCTCCACTTTTAGGGGGCGACTGAAATAATAACGAAATTGATAATATAATTATAATACATCCGTATATATGTGTGTAGACAAATATCACAGTAATTAGTTCATAAAATAAATAATTTTCTTAAGACGGTACATTCTTAACCGACATCAATGTTTCATAAAGTTACACGGTATAAAACGATTTTTACGTGGAAAGAAAATATTAAGTTTACTAATAATACGCACAAAACAAAAGCAATTAAGCTCAAATTCTATGTAAAACAACGGTTTCTAGGTGGTAAATTAAAATCTTCTTTCGTTCACTTACTCAGATACCGTCTACATTGCAATGGTGTGCCGCACGATGTTGTTGTATAACGCTGTCTTTGTTACAGAAAATACTACTGTGAAAGAATCATTTTAAGTCTGATAGGCATTAGGACATAATATTTATTATTCTATTATTTATAGACCAAAGCTAATATTATTTTAATATAGTTCGATTGCAATGTTAACATCATGCATTGTTATTTTATTTTTCGGAAATTAAAAACTGTCAAAAACGATTGTTATTTTTTTAAACAAAATCAAAGATGAAACAACTATTATTATGTTGTTGTGCATATAACTCTTATGTATGAACAAAGTGTTTTAACATTTACTCGTATAATTGTATAAGAAGTTTTGTTATTAATGAAATTGAAGATCGATGACAAATTTTAAACGCGAAGAGGCAATTTATGTGTTACAATTGACGACTATAAATTTAGTAACAGCAGGACACTGAAAAAACGAAAATATTGATTTTATATGTACTAATCATAATTGTAAATCAAATTTGGAACTTTGTAAAAATATTAAGCAAATGATTTCGGTTGATAATTAACACAATCACCCACTTATTTCGAACAGTAATATTAATT